GGTCTATATCTTCATTGTTTTGAGCTCTTCGCTATTATTTGGCATTTGTTTCTTGTTTTTCTAGTAATTTGCTTTCTTTTGTTTTGTTTTTCACTCTAATGCAGAAAAGATAGGTGTACATGTAGAGGTTTATACATTCATAGGTCTTCTCTTAAACAGTTTGAGAATTTATTGTATTATGCATGATGAAACAAACAGCTTACTTTGAAGAAAAACAGATATTATGGCATCGATCAGTGATTCCCTGTAGTCATGCTATGAAATCCAGTAATGCTTTTATTCTTTGTTCACAGAGGTTTTATTTTATTTTTTATTATTTAATTTCAATGAACATTAAGGTATGGGCAGCTATTTTGAAGAGAACAAGAGACATTATGGTATCCACTGTGGATTTTCTTATTGTCTGGTTTTGAAGACCTGTAATGCCTTCATTTTTCTGTTTTGATCAGTTTTATACTGTCTTGTTTTGTATGAATTCATTGTGTGTGAAGATATAAACAACTATTTAGAAGAAAACAAGAGACATTATAGTAGCCACTATTGATCTCCTGTTGTCCTGCTTTGAAATCCGTGTCACTTACATTGTTTTCCTCTGATCTGCTTTGTTCCATTTTGTTTTACCCTTTTTATAATAAAAAAATAAAATAAAATATACCCAAAAGTCTCATGCTAAGCTGAGGTATGGTCAGAAAGAATGAGTCACTGTGAGAGTAACTTGGAAGGGTGTATTCTTGCCCCTGGTTCCTTCCTTCTTTTTTTGCCTTCTAGCCATTATGCAATGAATAGCTTTCCTCAGTCCTACATTTCTGTTATGCAGTTTCTTACTTGGAGACAGTTACTGTTCACCAAATGTCTTAAACTTTAAGTCAAATTTACCTTTCCTCCTTTAAATTACTAGTGTTGAGTACTCTGCTGCAGAACTAGGAAAGTGACTGTTACATATACACTCAACAATGAGTCAATTGCTTTCACAGTTCTTTGTTTTTATTAATGATACTGCATATGTACAAAATACTATCACACAATACTGTCACAAAAAATAATGATGGAACTATCAAATTGGTCAGCAATCTCAAACCTAGTATCATCTCCAAGATGTAACCAAAAATAGTATGCATCCATAGCTTTGCACATAATTCTGAGTTTGTCTTCACGTGTTGTAATTAAATTATATGAATATTTCTTCTCACTAGACTAACAGCAATTTATAGCTAAGAGTGGTAACTTAGTCATCTTTGAGCTTTTAATGCAAGGTAATAATTGATAACTAAGAGAAATTATTACCACTAACATGTTGGTATTAATCAAAGCTTTAGGACTTGACAACTGGTTTCAAATTCCAGCTGTGCCTCTGACTCGCTGTGTGACTTTAATCAATCTCCTTATTGCAGTTACTCTTTACAACCTCATAGTTTACATTTGTAACTATGACAGTACTTAAAGCAGTGTCTAACAGATGGTAAGTTATCAACATCATCATCATCTTCTGGAATACACAGATTAAATGACTGAGGATTTCTGAGTGGTTCTCTGGCTTACTCTATCCTCTTCTGTGGAATCTTGACAGCTCCTTAAATTTGTAAGCCATGCTTGACGGAAGATTCTGGGAAGAGGTTAGAACACCAGAATATTAACAGTAATGCATCTAAGAGAATAATCTCAAGAGGTTTCAATAGAGAAGGACTTCTTCAGCAGTTGGACTCCAGGCCATGTATGTTATGATTTGGGAGAAAATTTTCCTGTGTTTTGCTAATGTCTGTAGGGTTTGTAAGAGACAGATTAAAGTCTGAAGACTAACCTGCCTGAAGAAATTTCAAGATAGTCCAACATTCATGTATTTGCATGCCTACTTTGAGAGGATTTTAGCCATCTATCTGGAGAGTCAAAAACAAAAGGCACCACCGGTGTTAAAAGTTTTGAGTTTGGCTAGAAAACAACCAACAGGAGTCTTGGAAAGGTGAAACACTGGAGAACTGTTGCTTAAAAGATTAGCATTAAAAAGAAGGCAAATTTAGGGCTGGGGATTTAGCTCAGTGGCATAAGCGCCTGCCTTACAAGCAGGCAGTCGTGAGTTCGATCCTCGGTACCAATAAAGAAGAAAAAGACAAAAAAAAGAAGGCAAATTCTTTGGAACTGAACAATCGGAAAAATAACATGAGGGTATGTAAGGAACATTTCACAGGCTCAAAACTGCAAAATAGAAAGACTTTGCCTGGAGAAGAGTGTACTCTGTTGGAGTAGGTCTGCTTAAGGAATTGGTTCTCTTGGACTCAGTTCACCATGGTCAGTCATCCTGACACTGGGAAGCTCCTGCAAGCAACAACAAGATACAAAAGGGTTCAGCTACTGTTCCAGCAGACAGCAGATCTTGGTAACAACCATACAGTGCTCCTTTTACATGCATGCAGAATGCAAGATTTATAGAATCAGAGGGACTTCCACCCAGATTTCAGAAGAAGGCCTGGGAGGCCAAGCAGTGTGTTTCTTAAGAGCACAGTGCATAAAGGTATATGAAGCCAAAAGTGCTGTGGAGACCAGGATACTGGAAAAGCAAGGAACAAGGAATATCTGAGGCAAGCAGCAAGCAGCACACAAAGCTTGATGAAGAGAGAATGGTTGAGGGCTAAAACCACCAGCAATACCACAGGGCTTGGGCTTAGCATGTTACTTGAAGTTCATCTCACCACAATTTCCCTTGGCTGTGAGATAGGGAGCTACAAGATTTAATAATATTCCTGAGCCTTGCTTTGGTCCATTCCTTTCTTTCTTTGAGTGCTGGAAGTTTTTAGCTGTCTTTTCACTTTTACAAGGGCTCAAAATGAAAAAGACTTTGGACTTGACTTTTCAACAATGCTGAAACCCTTAGCAGTTTGGCACTCATAGAGATAAACCAAACACATCTGCATAAAGAGATGCGCGTGAATCTTTTGGGGGCCAAGAGTAAAATGTTATAGTTTATGTCTAGATGTCCTTCCAAAGCTTAATGCACTCACAAGAGGGACTTTGGGGAGACTATTGGATCATGGGTACATGATACTCTTCAGTGGGTTAGTCTACTGATGTGTTTACAGTTCACTGTGATATTGAGAATTGACGCCTGGCTTAAGGAAATGGATCAGTGGAGGCATATTGGAAACATCTATTTCCCTCCTTCTTTTTTTGGTTTCTATCTGCTTCTTGATTGCCAAGTCTTTTACTGCTTCTCCTCAGCCATGCACTTCTGCATTGAAGCTTCTGTATACAAACTATACTTCAACAAACCATGAGCTAAAATAAATTTTTCCTTTAAGCTGTAGATGCTGGATATTGTGTCCTGACAACAATAGAAGTGACTAAGACTGTCACAAAGTAAGCAGATCTACTTTCTCATGGCTTCTTGACTTGATGTTACATCTTTGAAGCCAGAAAATCATGAAGTGAAAACTCTGAATTTCAGAGCCAGGTTAAACAACTCCCTTATGTTGTGACTGGCAGGTATTTTGTTCTAGTAACAGGATACTCAAAACTTAGTTGAGTTAAAGTTTATCACAGTAAGGGCTAACTTATATTTCTAATCTAGCTTTATTTTTAAAGTATTAACAAACTCCACATATTTCCTTAAATAAGTCTTTATTCTGAGAAAACTTCATACTTTGGGAATAAGAAAACAAAATAAATTTAAACCTAAAGTTAAAAAGGTACAGCTACCTATGAAAAATTCAAAAAGTAACTTAACCTCTCTATGTCTCATATTGTCTGCTTATTACATTCAGATGATTGCACCTACCTTCAGTGGGCTATGATGCAAATTAAATTGCATAACATGTAATAGAACTAATATGTTAACTATCATAACATATGACTTCAAAATATAATAACTTTTACTATCACTATCTATATAAATATTTTTATATTTTATTATGAAGCTTGAATGTATGAAGTCATCAGAAGTAAATTTAAACTCATATTTTTATTAGAGCTTTTAAAAATAATGTCCAACACCTGAATTTTTAATGTGGAAAACATTTTGGCATGTGAATCCTTGTTTCATAAAGACTGATGAGAGAATCATACAAGTGGCTGTATATATAATAGTGAAAAAGAATTCCAAAGGTGAGCCATATAGGAAAACTAAATTTAATTTAGAAACTCTATCCAATAACTAAGAAGTTAATAGTCTTTCAAAATAAAATAAAAAAGCAATAAATGTAAATTAATGCCATTTTTTGGATTCCTACATATTCATAATCGGATAATTTATGTAAAAACAAACTGACAAATCTAGTGATATCTCATTTTCTGGCATTCTGTAAATCACTGATTCCTAATTCACTTAGTATTTAACAGAAAATAGAAAACATATTTATTCTCCTTTGTGCTTTTTCAATGAAATATTAGTGTACCAAGATACAATAGTCAAAAGCCATAAATGCATAAGTAGATTAGGAGTTTGTTTCGGGGCCATTGTGGGAATAGAAGCTTAAAATATGTTTCATTTCATACATCTACTTTCCAATAACTTCCTTTTATTATCATCTTTAAAGGAAAATATAATTCTGGATATTTCTCCTCATTCAGATTATTCTAAATTTAAATTTTAATGATCTTTAAAAACACATACAATCATATCTGTTGGCTACATTTTACAACAATCAAATATGAAGCCTAAAATACAGAGCACATTTAAGTTTCATATACTCATACATATATATATAAGTGAAATGGTAGGTATGAAGTTTCCAAGCCTCTTGGAAAATTACTTATTTAAGTAACAAAACCACTCATGAGAAAATTAAAATGATCCATTGGGTTTACTCTCAAAGGAAACAGGACCTATTCCAAATAATACAATAGAAAAACTTTTATGTTATATATTTATATATCTATATAATATGGGTAAAATTAAGTAAACCCAGTTCCTTTTCTAACTTAAATTTATATACATATGTATATACACTTAAATTTTAAACTTTTATACAGACATTCAGAAAGCATTAAATACTCCCATTGATAAGACTTACGAGTCAACATGTAGAACCCTCTGGCCACTCCTTGAACATGCAGCTGCAAAGATGGATTCAGGCAAACCTATTAAAAACACACATCTATATCATTTAGAATGTAGAAATATATACATATATATACTTATTTATTTATTAACACAAAATTTTCAAGTCATACTATCATTGTATAGACTCATTAAACAAAAAGAAGTATCTTTGTTCAAAATTACACTTTGTATTAATTACTGTTAGAAGTTCCTTAAGCACATACCACTGCTACTGAAATTTTTATGCAGAAGAGAGATTTTTAAAAAGATAAAAATTTAAATATTTTCACCTAAAAATTACCATAAATGAGCAATTGTGAGACTACTATTTATATAAACCTGATGTTTCCAACTCCAGTAAGACATAAGGATCTATAGCTATATTCTAGAAATAAAAAAGAATCTGAAACTTGAATACATCAACCAGTTACAGCTTAGAAGAAATAAGTTATAGAGTGGAAAGTAAAACTCATATTGAACTTCAAAACTACAATGCCTCTAAGAGGAAAGAGAATACTGTTTTGGTTTAAGACATATGGACAGATGTGGGGGCATCGGCCTGTAATCTCAGATCTCAAGAAGCTGAGACTGGAGAATCACTGTGAGTATAAGGCCAGCCTAAACTACACAGCAAGACCTTGTCTCAAAATAAATAAATAAATAGCAGGGGGGCGGGATATTAACTAGTGCAAAAAGTGGCCATTAATAAGATAATATTTTAATTTTGGTCAGTATAGCAGCTTGCACAAAAAAACATTACTGGCTTGGAATCAAATGTCATACCAAAGAGTCAATTATTATAAAAGAAAATATATACTACTAATACTACTACTATTGATACAACCAAAAAGATAAAATGGTCAAAAATAATGCTGTGTAATTTTAAAACTTCAGGTTTCCACTGTATCAATCCTCTAAATTGTAAGTTCAAGACTTGTCAATAAAGATTTTATCAGAAAAGCTGCCATTTCAGTGGACATTACTAATTTTTTTTTTTTATTTCAGTCCTACAAATAACCATGTTTTAAAAGTTTAGTATAAACTCAGACATGGTGGCTCATGCTTATAATCTCAGCACTCAGGAGGCAGATGCAGAAAGATTACCACAAGTTCAAGGCTAGCCTGGAATACACAGTAAATTCAAGATCAGCCTCAACTGCATTGTGAGACTCTCTCAAAATAAAATAAAATAAAATAAAATAAAGAGAGAATTTATTATAATTTTATAGAACTACCATTACCAGGAAACATCCTGATCCATTAGTACTTTAGCTAGCAGGAAAAAAGCATTGTTCCACTCTTTCAGTACACTAAATATCAAGGATTTCAGGAAAAGATAAGATTATCTTCTTTTGACTGGGGATTTATCGAAGTAGCACAGGCACCTGCTTGGCTATACGAGGTTGTGAGTTCGATCCCAGGTACTAAACAAACAAAAAAAGATTATCTTCTTTATATAAAAGTTAATATGCCCACGGAAGCAAGAGAAATAACCAACCTCTAGTTAAAAACAACATTAAATATAAGGTCTAGCTGCCTACAAGGAACAATTACTTTTCTGGGGTCTAACACTGTGGATATATAATGTATGGTTCAAAAAAGCAAGTTCTGACAAAATGTACTAAACATAATCATTAAATATCAATTATTAGAAACAAGTCATCATAAGTATCCCATTTTCGCTTTGGATACAGCTCAAGATACTAAAATGCAAATTTTTAGGGCAGAATCAAATACAAGGAGTGAAATTTTAAATAGCTAAGCAAAGTAAATCCTTTAGTTAAAACTATCAATATCCTTTATCTTAAAATCTTCTAAAACTTTTTACAAACCACAAATAAATTTTCTTGTCAAATAAATCAAATCATTATAGTACTTTAAAAGCTGATAAGCAACTTAGAAGGACAACAGCAAAAAATACACCTAAGTATATTAGCAGAATTAGCATATTAAAGGTTGATGCTCTTTGTATAATAATGACAACATAATAGCACTTAATGTTACAGGATTTGGGGCTGGGGATTTAGCTCAGCAGCATAAGCACCTGGCTGGCAAACAGGAGGTAATGAATTTGATCCCCAGTACCAAAAAAAAAAAAAAAAAAAATAGAGGTGGGCCTAGCCATGGGACCCCATTGCAGCCTGGCAGCTCACTCTTTCTCACCTGGGGGCCAAGCTGCAGCTTCCTGCCTGGAAGAGTGAGGTGGGCAGAGCAGCGGGACCCCGTTCCAGCTTTGCCCACCACCCTCTCTCACCCGGAGGGCACACAGCAGCTGGCCCACCTGAAGGAGGGAACTGGGCCAAACTGCTGGAAACTGCTCTGACCTTACCTGCAACCTTCTTTTGGCCTGGAGCATTTCAGCACTACTGCCACCTCCTGGAGGAGGGAGCAGCCCAGCTGAGGAGGGAAGCTTTGCTGCCACAGTGGGGAGCTGTATAGCTTAAGGAGGCTTTAGGTCTACCTGAGAGGAACCTGGCAACCTTCTCTTAATCCCTGGGCTTCACTGCCCAAGGAGGGAGCTACACTACCAGAGGAGTCCCAGGAGTCCAGGACATAAGAGACAATTTCCAACACACCCAGGGGAAGCTTGGGAAGCTTGAAAATATAGGAAAATGACAAAATGAAACACCAAAATGCAATCTCAAACATCTAGCCAATCCCGAGAAAGCCTAGGAGCCATGTACATAGAAGAAAATACACGCTACATACCTGAAACACCTGAAATAATAGTAACCAAAATAAAGAAGCAACTGTGGGAAGCCTTAAAGGAATTCAAACTAGAAATAATCTCTCAGGTAAAAGAAGAAATGATAAAAGAAATGCAGGAAATGTTGAACATATCTAAAGAAGACACAGTTAAAAAATTGGAGGAACTAAACAAAAAGATAGAATTCCTGGATAAACAATATAAAATAAGAAACAAACAAAATATGTAAAGCAGATACAAAGAGATATACAGGAAATCAAAAGTTCCATTGAAAGTTGTAAAAACCACCTCAATGAATGTGAAGATAGAATTTCAGACCTCAAAGACAAGACTGCAGCCAGTAAACAGGAAAGGAAAGATCTTTTAAAAATAGCAAGAAATCAAGAAATAACAATTAAACACCTGCAAGATGACGCAAAGAGAAAAAACTTAAGGTTGATAGGGGATACATGAAAAAGAAGGGGACAACATAAAGGAAGTCAAGAGGATATTTAGAGAAGTAATAGCTGAAAATTTCCCAGACATGAGATTGGAAACTGAAATCAAGATCAAATAATCATAACCAAAATAAAACTGTACCCAGACATATAATAATTGCCATCCCAGAAATCGAACAAAAGAATAGCATATTAAAAGCTGTCAGAGAGAAAAGACAGATCACCTATAAAGGAAAACTTATCACAATCACAGCACACTTCTCAGCACAAACAATAAAGTCGAGAAAAGGATGGAGTGAAGTATTTCAAATCCTAAAGGAAAATGATTTCCAACCTAGCCTGATGTACCCTGCAAAACTCACTCAAAACTGATGGAGAAATAAGATACTTCCATGACAAAGAGCAGCTGAAGAACTTCATGATCCCCAAGCCAACCTTGCAAATAATACTGAAAGACAGCCTAGATACCTTTAGGGAAAAACCACTAAGCAAAGCAGATAATTAAACAGAACAGAAAGATAAAGATGAAACAGCAGAAAGATAACATGTCAACAATAAACCAATACATAACAGTTATAACCATTAATGTAAATGGTCTCAATGCACCAATTAAAAGAAACAGACTGGCAGAATGGATCAAGAAACAAAATCCAACCATATCCTATCTACAAGAAACCCATCTAACCCAAAACGATACTCACAGACTAAAAATCAAAGGATGGAAAACAATACTTCATGCAACAGGAACAAAAAAAAAAGTGGGGGTAGCTATTCTGCTTGCAGACAATGTGAACTTTAAACCAATAATTATCAGAAGTGATAAAGAAGGTCACTACATACTGGTTAGGGGAAAACTTCAAGAGGAAGAGATAACTATCTTAAATATATATGCAACAAATTGTAGAGCACACAGTTATATAAAACAAGTATTAACAGAAATGAAAAACCAAATTAGCAGCAACACAATTCTAACAGGAGATCTTAACACACTAATGATACCAAGGGACAGATCAACCAGACAGAAAAACAGCAAAGAAAAAAAAAGAACTGTATCTACCTGTGAACAAACGGACTTGATGGACATAATACAGAGTACCAATAACAACAGAACAAACATTCTTCTCAGGAGTACATTTGTCATTCTCTAAAATAGACCATATATTAACTTACAGAACATATTTACATAAATGCAAAAGGGCTGAAATTATCTCTTACCTGCTATCGGATCATACCGCTATGAAATGAGAAATTAATGATTAAAGATACTGCAAAAATCTCACAAACAAATGGAAACACAAGAGTGTGAATAACACACTCTTGAGTAATCAGTGGGTCACAGAGGAAATTAAAGAAGAAATTAAACAATACCTACAAACAAATGAAAACACAAATATAACTTACGGGAATCTGTGGGGTGCAATGAAAGCTGTCCCCAGAGCAAAATTTATTGCACTGAGTTCCCACATCAGGAAAACAGAACGAACACAAATAAATAACCTGATGCTACACATCAAACAGCTAGAAAAAGAAGAGTAACTCAAGCCCAAAGCCAAAAGAAGAGAGGAAATTATAAAAATCAGAGCAGAAATCAATGCAATAGAGACTAGAAAAACAAAACAAAAAAATCAATGAATCAAAGAGTTGATTCTTTGAAAGAATAAATAAAATCGATAAGCCCCTAGCCAACCTTATTTTAAAAAGGGAAGAAAAAGCTCAAATTCATGCAATTAGGAATGAAAAAGGCGAAATCACTACAGACCCAATAGAAATACAGAAGATCATCAACACCTATATCAAAAACCTCTACTCTCAAAGGTTTGATAACACAGAGGAAATAGGACAGATTCCTAGAAGCATGTGAAGTACCAAAGCTAGGTCATGAAGATGTAAAACT